CCCCCCCCCCCCCAAGGGTTATATTTATTCCTGATATACGTCTTGCCAAATATCTAACAACAAAGCTGAATATGTATTGGGTTTAAGCAAATGTTGTTTCCATCTTTAGCTATTTATATCAAGCATTAATTAATCTGGATGATATGTACGGATTGATTTGAAACAATTATTTTCTTTCTTAGACTTGTATCTAGACTTGTATTCAAAAGTGTGGTGCATCAAATATTTCTCAGGATAAAGAAATTCTGGTTTTTGGGTATATATGTGTGAACCAGTGCTGATTGTATAGGTTCTTAAATTAAAATGTGATCTTCACTTATTGCAACAGGGCGTGTTCTCTACGGAATTCAGTATGTAAACTGGATGTATGGAATAATGGCTACTGTGGAATTAATTGCATTACTGTTTTACTGCTGAAACAAACTTTTACTTCAGGTTCCTGTAAATACAGTACTACTATGATTTTCATCATCACTCTAGTTATTTTTTTAATCTTTCTTGTTTCTCCAGTGAAGCCTACCAACCAGCCCATGTAAAGGATGAGAGGAGAGAAGCTGTTGTTGCCCATGATATTAATGTCTTTACAGACGTTATATGGACAGCACTTGGCAGAGGAGTCCTGCACTGTTCAGATCCTGGTTCCTGGACTCAAAGGCACACTGTTCTATATATATTTTATTACACACAGTATGCAAAAGAAAACAAAAAACATACTCTGTCTTAAAATATTTTTATTGCTTTTTCTCTGTCTTCTTCTGCAAAAGGAGAACCAGGAGAGAAAGGACAAAAAGGAGCACCAGGGAGACCAGGAAGAGTTGGCCCACCTGGAGAGATTGGTAAAATGCTAAATATTTTTGCTAAATATTTCTCCTTCTCCTTATTTAAGACTACCATGAAGCTGAAAAGAAAAAGAACTGGGGTAAAGATCACATTGCTTGGGCTGAGCTGATAATGTCCTGTTACATCACTGCCAGGCCATCCAGAGATGGCCAAGTGTTTACATTTGGGTGAGAGGTTGGAGGAGAAATGATTTGCAGAATCCACTGTGTGTGTTTACTGAAGACCTTAATGAGGAGTTCACATACTTTTCAAAAGAGATTACGCAGACTCAGCATTTTTAATTAATGCACCTTAGTAGAATCAAATAGCGGTTTTAGAATTTCTCCTATTACATTTTATGTATGGTCCTTTAAGGTGCAGAAACGTTATCTAACATGGGATGCATACAGTGACAGATATTTTTCTTTTTTAGGTCAACCTGGGCTGAAAGGTCAGAAAGGCATAATGGGACGTTATGGAAAAGTGGGCCCAAGTGGGATGAAAGGTAATTACAAAATGCCTAAATGTATTTCTCCACAATAAGTGTAGTGCTTTTCTTGTTTTACGAATAATTAAATTTCATATCTCAGGGGTAAAAGGAGACATGGGGGATCCAGGTCCGAGGGGCCCTAATGGAGATCCAGGTGAGATATTATACCCAATGATTCAGTTTGTCAAACAGATTATTCCAGGATTAGAAAGACACATTTGGTGAAATTTGAGAACTAATTAGGACAGCCCTGTGGTAATCCCCAACATTTTTGCCTTATCAGGTGTTCCATGTGAATGCATGCCAATGAGAAAGATGATTGGAGAAATGGACATTCTTGTGGCCCAGCTCTCCTCTGAGCTGAAATTCATTAAAAATGGTATGATTCATGCTATTTCTGTGTTTTGGAAACATTTTGACATTAAATGTTTATCGTCAGTTCGTGTATTCATTCTACTGCTTCACTTATTATCCTTCTAGAATTGCAAATGATGCGCATGTCAATGTGAAATTTATAGAAATACAAGTGCTCATTTTTCAGCACTGCCCTCCCCTGCAGCTGTTGCTGGCATAAAAGAGACAGACAGTAAGGTCTATCTGTTGGTGAAGGAGGAGAAGCGCTACTCCGACGCAGAGGTCTACTGTCAGACGAGGGGAGGGCACCTGGCCATGCCCAAGGATGAGGGAGCCAACGCGGCCATCGCAGGGTACATAACCGAAGCAGGCCTGAACAGAGTCTACATTGGCATTCATGACCTGCACCGTGAGGGCGTTTTCACCTACGTGGATCTCTCTCCCATGACCACTTTCAGCAAGTGGAGAAAAGGAGAGCCCAACAATGCCTACGATGATGAGGACTGTGCTGAGATGATGGCCTCTGGGGAGTGGACAGATGTGGCGTGTCACCCTACCATGTATTTTGTTTGTGAATTTGACAAGGACAGTGTCTAGGTTCAGCCTATGTTAGTCCTCCTCCACTCAAAAATATGTTTTTCTTCTTGTTCCTACAGTTGGATGTTTTAGATCCACTGTGCAGAATGATGTAGGTGCAGAGTTTGATACAACAATGATTCACATTCATCTGCTGAAAGTGGAAAGTTTCTCTGTGCTCATCAAAAATCAGATTTTTTAAGGGGCGGGACCTAAAAGCATGATTTGTTACATCACAAATCACCTGGAAGTTAGTCCTGGTCCAATTTGAGTGTAAGAAACTTGAAGCACAAACACTGTAAATTGACTTTACAGTGAAGTAGGAGACATCTTGCAGGAAATCTTTAGAAATTAACACAATTTGCATATTCATAAATTCAGGATTTTTTTATGAGGTAGAAGGAGTAGATGCCTTTTTAAGGAATACAGTGTGAAAATTAGACTTTTTTTAATGTGAAAAAGACATTCCAGACACACATTATTGTTCCAAGCACACTATTTGTATGTGGCTTAATACATGTCTGGAGGGGATCTTTAAAGAAAGGATAAATATAATGGAACAAAAGTTAGATATATTGTTTGTGTTATATCTTCTATCTGTAAATAGGATGACAAAATAACATGCAAGTTGTGCAAACTATTTTCCACTTTCCCTTTTTCTTGTAAGCTCATAAGCTATTTATTTTCTTATCTCACAAAAAATCCCAGAGTTTTTGTTCTTTTGTGAGATTTTTTTTTTTAACTACACCCTTAATCTCATACTCAGTGGTTCATTAGCGTTTCAAACAGCATGCAAGGCAATATATTTTTAATAGTTTTTATGTTATGCAAACTATCCACTGAACAATATTTGCAACAGTGCCATCAACAAACAAGACAAATAAGCAAATGTAGAAGGCTGTTTGTGCATAAAATATGAAATTAAAGAAAGATTTTGGTTTCAGTTGGGTGCTTTTAATCAGAGAAATTGAATACAATATTCATTCTATACTCATACAATAAGTTATGTGGCGGTTGCTGTCAGGTAAATTTTCACTGATAATTTTAAAAAGAGTCTGTGCATTATCTTCTGGCCCTGAGCTGATCTAGTGCAGCAGCTGAACAAAACCCAGCAGTGTAAGGCCGCCTCCACCCAGTGGATGGAAGTTGTACTGCACTGAGACAATTTATTACAGTGGGATGTAAAATTAGTGGCCTGATCTATGTAGGCCTATTGGAGACATATTGACTTGTCATAGAAGGAAAAGCCCAGGTAATAACATTAACAATAGCTGTTCCATTCAAGTGTCACCGTATGCTATGACAGTGTAACAGTGAGTCAGCATGCACAATACCAGGAACCTGAAATCAAAGTGGCAGAAAGCTCAACCATAATTTTATTTTTTACACCTGTGCTTTTCCTACTGTAAAATATAATCTGTGAAAACACCCTGTGTTTCAGTTTAAAAGGTCTACACATACTGTAGCTAAAGTCCATGGTATAAGAGTGAATGTTAAGCTTGGACCGTTGTGGGTTATTATTTTTTTATAGCTGTTGCAGTAGATGTGGTATTGCATAAATACTGTGTATGTATTTCTGCAATGAGGAAGGAAATGCATTCATTACACCCTAGACCTGAAGGATGCCTACATGCATTTTGGTACCACTCTGGATGCAGACATAACTTTGGTTTGTTTATAATAAAACTCCACAAGGAACCACCAGAGCACAGTGATTACATAATGTGACAAAGGAAACTCACCCACTGATTCTAAGCTTGACAAGACACTGGCATCTCTGTCACATTGTGTTACAGTGACACTGGAAGAACATCACTAAGAGAAAAAATGTTACCACTTGAGCAAAAAACACAGATTTTAAAGCTGCACAGCAGATTTAACTTATAAACATTAAGGGATATTTATTTTGACTTAATTGTTGGGCATTTATCTATATTAATATTGCTTTTGGTAAAATATTGAAATCTATCATACGAAGTTAATTAAATCTGGTTACTAAACTAAACACACTGGCAAATAGTGTTTATCTAAATTAACACAGACAATTTTGCTGTGACATGACGATTATTTAAAAATAATGTATTATCGAAACACAAGAGAGTTTGAAATAATAATAAATTAATCACACTTGGTAACAATACAGCAGCATAATGTTTGCTGAATGACAAAAACAAGACATTACATACTTTAGGTTACTATGACATTTTCATCTTTGTAAATCCTCTATGGTTTAGTTCTGTGATTAATAGAAGTTGTCTTACAGGCCTGGCTTCTATTGTTTTTTAGGATGGGCATCCCAGCTGAGATGATATCCTATTGAGCCCCTCTAAGACGAGGAATTTGAATATGCATGATGCAGTTCTCCTACTAAAGCACAGCACCAGTCCCTTAAGAAATGAATAATTAATGTTGAGATGAATTATGCATTTAATTGACCAGGAGTTGTCTGGCATAAACCAATTAGGTGCCATTGTTGGTGCAATCTCAAGTTACCTTTGTGGTAAACAATTTGGACAGCTTTGTCTAACAGTGGACAGGCCGATAATCTGTGGTGAAAAAATGGCCTGCAAATGAGAGATATGACTACAGTACATGGAAATGTAAAAAAACACAGCCTGACGTTATATACAGCAACTTTGGAAATATAATTTTCCTACTGTGGTTTTAGCTTGTGAAACAGATTAAAGTTTAACCTGTCAGAAATTTGGAAAGGCAAGCTCCAAGTTTTTGGTGACTGCACAAAGAAAAAACTAGTATTAAAAGTAAAATACATAAAAAATAAAAATAAATGCGTGCACTTTTTTTGGTCTCTCTCTACAGTGTTTCATATCCTTATTTCCAAATATACTTTGATAGATGTGATAGATCGGAGGGAATGGACAAAGACGTTGGGGAAAGGTGGTGTTGAGGTGTAAAGTAGGCCTACTCTAACCTTTAAACTTCTCTAAAAGGTTGTGTACCAATGGCTCTCATCGCCATCAACATATCGGTGGACAGCCTGTGGTGAAGAAAGATTAAATACCCATATATAAATGTGTAAAAGTTGCTGGAGACAATAGAGAATATAGGATAAGGCTTGATGCTGCAAATTTGTTTTTTTGTGTCTTTCTGTTCCCAAAAGGTCAAAGTTATTTATTATTTATTGCAACTTGCCCCATGCCCCAGCACCTGATACAAGTCAGTCTTCAAAATGCATCAGGGGCTGCAGCTGACTCTGTTTTATGTTATACAAGTGCAGTGGTTACCTAAATATGGGTAAAAAATAATATAAAATCACACCACCTATAACAACGTATGCAAAGAAATACTTAATATAGCCAAAGTCAAAATGTCAGCTCATTCTGAGGCACTATAACCCAATTTAATTAACGTTACACATGTCAAAGTCCAAGCATAGATTTATGACTACCAATAAACGCTGGTTGCCTTGGAAACGCTTCAGTTTTTGGAACCAAACACTAAATTCGCGTTACACACAAACAGAAGAAACCACCAAACAACAACAAGAGACGGTGGGATAGGTGTCCTGCAGCTACACCTCTCATGTGGGAGAATTGGTTTCCATATCAGATGTTATCTCCAGTTACGTCTGCGGAGGCTCAACACAGCTTCCAGTGACACATTTACTTTTGACACCAAGCGCCATTACTGTGTAAACTGCGCCTGTTGGCTACAGCTAAAGTATGCCGGCCACCACGGGAAGAGCTGACCCGCCGCCGACAAAAACTATAATTGTCTACAGGAACGGAGACGCTTTTTTCCCCGGAAGGAAAATAGTTGTGAACCCGCGGCAGGTGACGACCTTTGACCATTTTTTGACCTCTCTGACCCGAGGGCTTGAGGCTCCGTTTGGCGCCGTGAGGAAGCTGTACACTCCCAGAGAGGGCCACAAGGTTCAGCATTTAGACGACTTGAAACATGGGAGTGTGTATGTCGCAGCCGGAAATGAGCAGTTCAAAAAGCTGGCGTAGGTACCATACTGTAAAGTGTGTCTTGTTTCTGTGTGTGTGTGTGTGTGTGTGTGTGTGTGTTGTTTGGTGGGCATTTGACTGTGCTGGAACTATAGTCCTTAAAATATGTCAATACTTAATGAACTGAAGTGCTGAGTAACCTGAATAATCAATATTTATACATACAGTATCTTAAACAAACTCTAACTTGAATGTTTAATGTGCAGTCTTGTGGACCACTATTCTTATAAAGTCAGTCTAGTTTAAAAACATTTTCAAGTGGTTTTTTTAATTTTAGTTATATATATCAGGTCTAGAGATGTCTTTCTATATATGTAATAGACCAGTGACTTTATGGGTGTCACGTGTAGCACCTGAAGGCTGGGTTTGAGTCATGATTGACTGTCATGACTCAGAGAATAGTGGTCCACAAGACTGCACATTAAACATTTAAACTACTTTTAAACTATTCTGCTGTGAACAACAGTCAACATGATTTCTTAATGCCTTCCAGGTATTGTGAGATAGCAACCAAGAAGCCACAGAATAAGAAAAGGGAACAGGTAAGTGTTTGATGAATTATACTCAAAATGATTAAACTACATATAACCTTTATTTATTACTGATTATTTTACTATATATGTGTGAGCACGCTGTATAATATAGTGATCTTTAGTGGGAGGTTGAAACCCTAACCTCGGTGGTGTAATAATACTGCCTGCACAGTTGTCTGAATGACAATAATCAGAACTGAACAGTGATAATAAGTCCTATTATCCCTCATAGCATCAAAGTTTAAGGAAGACACCTAAAAATGCCTCATTCCTTATTTACCACTGCTCTGTATTCACTTTCTGACCCCTAGTTTTCAAAACTTTTCAGATCCGACCTGTTGTTCACAGCAGAATAGTAGTTTCTGCTCGCTGGGGAAGAACTACAGACGAGTCCTGCACAATAAAGTGAGTATTGATTTTAAGCTGGATACAAAGTTATCCTGAATGTAAAAAGGTTTATGTTCTTTGCTGTGTTGTGTAGTAAATAGATGATGTTTTTATCCCTGTGTCTTTTTCAACAATTGAATGATTATCTCTTCGTGTCTCTATTGTTTTTGTTCTGTTCTGTAGTGTCTTTACCAACGGAGAGCTCTTGGTTCCTCCAGTTCGAATACGCATCCCAAAGTATACTCTCAGAAGCTGGGAAAATGTTTTAGTCATGGTGACAGAGAAAGTGCGACTTCGCACTGGTGCTGTTTACAGGTAATGTCTGACATCAGTACATCATAAACCCTTGTAGTTTTGAATTAGTCATGTATCAGTGAGGACAACCAACCTGTAGTTTTCCTGGATTAAGTAAATAGGACCTTTATTCTCTGGAGGGTATCAAGTTCTTTAATATAGATATAGGTAGAGGGAAATATGATTAGTGGAGATTTAAATGAGTTTAAATGCAGCAAAAATAAGCAGTGGAAGGATTTCTTTAATGTATTAGTGATTGGGACCATGTCTGGTTGTGATGTGCTCACAGGGGCTAATGCAAAACTGATTGTCAGGCTTTGATGGATTTTTAAAACATGAAATTTATCCACTCAACCAATATTTGAGACATCTATGTCTCTTCTCTATCCAAAACACTGATAATTATAGGCACAGTTCAAACAGCCCCAAAACATTGCTTTAATTTGTGGTGTTTCTTTATTTGAGTTCTCAGGCTTTGCACATTAGATGGACATCCTGTCTGCGGTCCCGTTGAACTGGAGAACAACCAGCACTATGTTGCAGTCGGTGCAGAAAGGTTTAAAGCTCTCCCATATGAGCAGTGCATCCCCTGCAGGGATGGAATCAGGGAAAATCACATGTTGGAAGGGTACGAGACCTATGAGGTTGTTATCTACATAATTTAAATAAACGCTGGAGCCCTATTTTGGTGTCAAAATGAAAGAGAATATGTTTGCCAATTTTGTTTTCCCTTTTTTGTCCCTGCAGCCACTACATCCTGCCTGCTGTTAGAAAGACAAGACATGCAAAGGATGTGGTGAGTAGTATTGCTACAGAGTTAGGCGCAGTTTGCCATCTGGCCGTTCACTTGCTCACGACATGCTAAATTCCCTCCAGTTTATTGCTGTAACACCGTGGTAGCATCGCCGTTGAAAAGCGTATCTTTGCACATGCACACACAGCATTTCAATTAACATTTCCCATGTGCGAGACTTGTTGTGGGGGTGCAATTCGTTATGAAACGGCGCTATCATCAATCACTGTCTGCAGGAGGCATTGAGTTACCTTTGCTTTCCACTTTGATGGGTAATCCCCACAGAGACAGGCTGGCCCACTTGATCAAGTGCAGTGAGCCTCATAGACAGATCATATGCACCGGGGGGACTTCACTGACTGAAAACAAAAAAAAAAATCTTTATTCAAACCAGAACCAGGACAATTTGTATTGTGATTAAGTAGACAGTGAAGTGCTTTGAATCCATATGAGGATTGCGCTGCTGTGGGCCTGAGTTGCACACCAAATCACACGATGAAGATGAGAACATGCCCAGTCAGCAGGTTGAGGTGGAGATGAGGTGGAGATGGGGGGGGCCCCCTGTGAGAGATCTGTCTGACATCTGATTTTTTTAACCATGAAAGATGACAATGCTGTGGCAGATGCCAATTTTTTTTCAGATGGAGAAAAATGCCTCATGTCTTATCTGTAGCTGTATCTGTGGTTGACTACCTATTCAGAAATACAATGAATATTTATTAGCAATATATAAGAATCAGTCTGAATGCTGTAGCTTATTTGTATGATTTCTTCATCTTATTAAAAACTATCCAAGCATAAAACAATACTGTTGAAACACGAACTTTGCTGAACTGAGGTTTAGTCTTTAGGTAGGAACATCTGAATCAACACTGTTAAGACCACAGCCTTTGCCATTACATATAGTACCATGAGGTGGAGACAAAGACAGAGCTATGCCTGTGTTTTCCATCCACCAGCTTATTGTAATATGTTAGTCATTCAATGGACATGATGCTGCCGCATTTTACTCCCTTTGCCTCTACGTCTGATCCTCATGAATTTGTAAACATGATTTGGTTAATAAGCACCTTTTCAGAGGGGAAAGATACATGTGCCAAAAATTGCCCACTGTGTCTTGATCTGTCGGCTGTTTAGCTTACTGATTACACATGCATTTATAGGGTCATGTCCGTCATTAATTTCAGTTTGACCTCACAAAACAACAGCAGTCTGGTTTGAAATGCCTGTAAAAAGATCCTTTAAACATGCCCGCTCAGGCTGTGTAAAATGTAACCTTGCTCCTGCAACCTCGCTGCATGGGAAACGGTGTCTGTCCTGTCCTGTCCGCACCGGAGCGTTTCTGCGCTGCTGAATGGGACATCTGGTCTGGAGCAACCACTGAAGTCTAAACTGACGGCTCTGCAGAGTGTAATATTGAAGCTCTCCAGCACACCGTGTTCCCATCGGAAGCAAGCATATATGCTGACTTAGGTGTTCACAGACATGATGAGGTAGAAACTTTTGAGGTAGACATGGCATAAAGAGAAGATTAATAGTGGGGAGAGAAATGCAAAGAGATAAAGAGAAAAAGAGAATATTGATGTGCATCAAAGCAAAGAACTTTCATATTACAGTAATAATAATGTGCTGCACAATTGTGCTTCACATGTACTTCACACAAACAGCCCAGAAAGGCTGACTAAAGCTTTTAATAGCTGCTCTCCCTGACATCAGCGATGACTCGCTGCTGCTCCCCGTTTCTCCACTGTTTCTGGATGATCTCATTGGTGAGGGGAAGTAGCAATGCCCCGTGGAAAACTATACCCCCTTACTGCTGCCAGCATGTCTGCTCACTGAGGACCCGGCCCTGGGAGTGGCTCCTACTGATACCACAACCAGTATGGCTGGAGGCTGGCCGGTCCAATTGGTTGGGACCCCCGTTTTCCCCTGGCTATCATATCACGGTGTCCTCTTGTTGACTCCTGTTCTCTGCCACTTGAGAGGGCCAGAGATTACTTGCCGCTCTGTCCCCCTGAGCCCCTTTCACAGTAACTCTAGCGCTCTCTTTCTCTCTCATGGTCTCTCTCTCTCTGGGGCCTCCTGATACACACAGTTGTCTGCTCCCACAGGACACGGTACTGTAGATATGTAATGCAGAATGAGAGGCGAGATGACCTCAGCTTTTCCACTGCCTGTGTTTCCACTTGTGCTGCTACTTGTACTGTACTCTCCTGGCTCTGAGGCGCCCCCCCGTCCTCTGCGTTCTCCTCCCTGAGTGAGACACTCTTGATTTAACTTTGTTGATTTAAATAAGATCTATTTACATCTCACCACCAGGCTGTAAACACGGAAAACAAGCTGTTCAATTTTTGATGGCCCAGATGTATTTTGATTCTGAACTTTATCACGAAGTTGTTACACATCACTCACAGATGGAATTGAGGTTACGAAACTGAATTAACAGCTTACCGCTGCGACAGTGCCACTGCTCTTCTGTCTTTGATCTTGTGTGGTTATGCGGACACTACAGCGCTGGAGTGTGAACTCTGTTTCAACTCCCCTTCGCTGAATATGCCAAGCAAACTTCACTCCTCTTTTGTTGTTTTATTTTTCTCCCTCGGCCCACCAACGGCTGTAGAAATTCAAAAGAATATCAACAGACTTTGCCTCGGCATTAAAGAAAGCAAACAAGTGAAGAAACAACGGCACTATTCCCCGGAGTCCATGTTAGTGAGCTTGCAAACACCATTGCCAGAAGTGTATTCTGGTGGAAGCCTGAGATCACTACACTATCCCCGGAGCCAGCCCAGGGATCCAGCCAGGCAGCTGCAGTAAAGAGCACTGTAGCTGAAAAGAAACATTAAGTCTGCTCTCTCCCACTCTCTGCGTCTGTGTCTCTCATTCTCTGTAAGGGAGACATACCTCACCTTGCTACCTACAGAGAGGATGAGGAGCCTGCGAGGAGAAAATTGCCTTTTGTGGAAGCATTAATTCAGATGTGTACCCTGCTGTCTGAACATCACTCTGAACTCTCCCCACTGCTCTCTCGCTTTCTCTCTCTCTTCCTCTCTTGCTCCTTCACTCTCCCACCATGCAACTCCCAAGCCTCTTTTTTTTTTTCTCCCCTCCCCTCTCCATCAATAACCTTCTGCTGTCTACTGCTGAAGAATAAGTTATTCCCTACAACTCCCTCCCTTTCCCTTTAAGCTTGTTTGGATTTTCATTGTTTGATCTGGCTTGATAAATAAGACAAATGCAGTTAGAAATTCATGGCTGCCCCATTTCATCAATAAATGATTAGTTTGCCACGCTCCCCAGTGATTGATAGGTTGTGCACGGGATGTATTGGAACCAGATGAATTCAATACAGTAGGAGTCATGGGGGAGCTACAAAGCATATCAGCTCATGAAAAATTGAGGTCAATAGAAAATGTAAAAAAACGTTGAGAAGAGAAACAAGTTTTGCACTGATGTGTTTTGTCTCTTTTTTTTTCTTCCACTTTACAAAACAACAGCAAAAAGTCGATGATGAATCACAGCGAAATCTGAGGAAATATGCCTTAATCTGTGCCCCTGTTTTCTCTTCTCTTTTATCTCTTCATGTAGTTTGCTCGTACAGGCTTTAGAAAGGACCTTGAGCACACAGCCAGGGGCCAGATGAAGAAACACGCAGCAAAACTGGAGAGAACCAAACAACAGAGGCAGGTGTCCAGGAACCCAGTTCTCTTCGCGACGGGGGGTAAGCAGAGCAATTCTATAAGAATATCTCTCTCCCCGTCTCTCTCTTTCTCTCTCCAGCCCTAGTGTTTTTCTTTCCCTTCAACACCTCCTTTCTCACTATGACAATATGAAGAAACGTGTTGGCTTTTGTAGACAAATGTATATGTGTTTGGGTAGAGTGTGTATGCACAAGTGTAGGAAGGACTGCATTTGGGCACACGTGTAGGCATGTGCTTTGTACATTACCACCGTGTGTGTGCAACATTTGACAGTTGATTGAGCTTTCTTTTGACTCTCAACCTGTTCTTTTAAGTCCAAACAGAACACAGCTCCCTGCTTTCTGGAAGAAACACCAGTCTTTTCTGTGAATATTTAATAGAACAAGACTTCAAACACTGTCATGGGGGGTTAAATCATAGATGAATTCAATCAGGCCATTTTGTTGAATATGTATACAGAAAGCCTTGTTAAGTATGTGTGTGTGTGTGTGGCACAAAATGCTCCAATTTTCTCCTAAAGTGGGGATAAAAATGGTAATAAGTTATTAATCACACATAACGCTGACAGAAGATCATAAGTGACAAAATACTTAAATTTATGGGTTTGAACATTATAGCAGTTGCACTGTTTAAAAGTGATACTCTTCTTCATCATTACCCCAGTAATTGTGTGTTTGCCAGTTATTCAGTAGCTGTCATTTCATGTGTTTGTTTTACCATCTGTGCACAGTAATACACGACTCGGAAGACTCATTATGTAGCACTTTCAACGTGACATGATATGGTAGCATAGATGAGCTTATTGTCACAGTTTGAAACCCGCGATTATTTTCATATGAGGCAACTAAGACAGCTGACCATACCTGTAGTAAGGTTTCCTCCCATAAAACACAATACTTAAGGCCTAGAGTTAAAACAATGAGTCTTCTTTATAACTAAACACCTCTAAAAACCCGTCATACAGGAAGTTCACAGAGCTTTTGGCACCAGATTTCTTCCATCGTTTTGTCTTTTTTAACTGGAGTGAGTCTAGAAAGAGATTCAAAACTAAGACTAAAAGCATAAGTCTGCAAGTTTTGTTGCTGTATAATTGCCTCTTTGAACTAAACTTATTTAACTACATACATTTTTCTATGCATTGTCCCTTAGTGTTATCACTAATGAATCTACCATGCTTTGTTATTTATTATTTAAATGAAATTACTTAAGGCTATTGAAGTAGATTCAAGCTCAATAGTGTGTTTAATTATTCACATTCTGCCCCATATCAGATCCAACAGTCACAGACAAAAGGAGTTTGTTTACAAGGAAAAACAGTGTGATGTTGCCGTATAAGCTATTCCCCACATGCATCAAGAGCAACCTGTCACTGTCAGGAACTAACCCTGGACCGAAAGTTCATGCTGGCTGGCCATATTTGTGGCAGGGCAGCTGTGGCTTTCTGTGGCCCTTTCGTCTGTGGGACCACTCTAAATAAATAAATGGCTTGACAGCAACATTGATCTCTTGTGAAGTTGAACAGGAAAAGCAAAGGGAGAGGAGAGGAGGGCAGTGAGGGATGGGTAGTCAAGAGAGAGAGAGAGAGAGAGAATGAGTGTGAGGAAGAATGAGACGGTGACTGCCAGCAGATGAGGTAATTGTGATTAATCACTTTTCTCAGAGGGCAGCGTGTTCAATGCACAAAACAAAAGAAGTGAGATGGCTGGAGCAGCGGAGGTGCAGGAAGACCGCCAGCTGAAGGTGGACCTGCCAATTGATCAGGTAAAGCAGAACCCCACGCAGCCCGATGAGGTCTTTAGCGTACAATCTTTGAACAGCTTTGTCCTGTTTATCCGACAGGAAGTAAGAATTGAGTCCAATCTGAAAGCACTATTATCAGCATCACCGCAGATAGATGTAGGCCACCTGGGCATGTGCTGATTCCATTAACTTAAATATATGCTCCTGCCTGTGTTGTCTTGTTTACTTCTTGTCTCTGAAGACAAACAGACGTATACAAGTTGATGAATCTCACAACAAGCTGTCAACATTTGACATGTTAAATCTCTGGTTTAAAAGAAAAAGGTGTCTGCACCTATATCACCCTCTCCCCATTTTCCTCTCATTAAGCTTTACTTTTCTGTGTGTTTTTCAGCTTCAAAAAGAATAGAGAATATACTAGCACAGTATCATATCATTTTCTGCTCAGAATAAGGCCCATGAATGCTCAGTAGAACATGTTACATAAATATATAAATATTTAGCAAAATCAATACAGCAGTACAGTACAGTGTAAGCCAAGGGGGATCTTGTTTTCTCCCTCCCCGCAGGTTGAGGCCAAGATAGTTGACGAGGAGAACGAGGATGGGAGTTGTTATGCGAGTCCCTGCAAGGCCTCCCTCCATGATTCAGACAGCTCATGTCTGCAGAGGTCTTTGTCTACAGGTTCCAGGAAGGATGTAAGTACCCTTATTATGAGTTTCATGTAGTTACTATTTCACGTTAAGTTCATTTTTACTTTATTATTATGTCCAATTTTTTCATTTGCTTTTGGATTAGGTCACATAAAAATGGTTTAACCAGCAATTATGGTAATCACCATTTCCATAATTGCAAGAGCGTCACATAGACCTGCTGGCAGCAACTATACTTTTATCTGATGTGTGTGTAACCTGTTTTTCTGTTTCCATGGTTCTCTTGGTTCTGTGTATTGTGTACTGTGTATTTACCAGCACAACCTTTCTTCAGGGTGAGGAGAGTCAGTAAAAGGCTCAGGGCACAGTACAGGATTACAGACACCTGAGCCCCATTTTCAACTCAATACCAGTTATAGAGCTTAGCTGGAGCCACAGATACTGTATGTATCACAGCATCATGCTTAAAAAGTGTGTATTTGCGATTAGACTAGAGCCCCATAACAGTATGTGGTTGTATTTGATGTGTGTCCTTGACTCTGGTTATTGTGTACGTTCACAGTGATGAAGTAGGGCTGAGATGTGTGTACAGATGTTTCTGCATGGATCTGTGGTTCCTAGAAATTACACTCATTTAAATACACTTATTTTGCTCTAATAATCCTCGAGGGACAGCAATATGAAGCAGTGTAACTGTGATGAATGAACACAATAGTTGGGTGATATTACTATTCCAAGCAATTTCATTCGGCTTTGAAATGAGAAGATATTGAGTCTTATTTAAGCAATCAATAACCTTGAACATTTTGTTCTAATGAAAACTATAATTTCAAGCAGTGGCAATTACACCATAGGGGAATGTTTTGGTGTGGTGATGGTTTTGCTGCCGTATGCACTTTTGCAATAAAGATATTCTTATCGGGGTAATTATTGACTTCTGGGGGCCAGTTATGACCCTGGCTAAAGACCTCATCAATAGCTTAATTCATTACTTATCGCTTTTAGTCATACATGAATGTTGCTGATTCAGATTGGCTATGGATTGCAGGGAAAGACCATTAGATAATGGACAATAATAATAATAATAATAATCCCTGGTACAGACTCAGCTAGTTTTTGCACTAACCATCCCGCCAAGCAGTTTTTGATTTGTCAGCTAACGAAGACATAAAGAGAAGGTAGGGTTTTTATTGTTTCAAGCTCTCCAGTTGCAAACATAATGCCAGAACCAATCGAACTTAGCTTGTTAAATTCAGTTTACACTAGAAAATGCCCATATTGTACCTTACCAACATTTTGCTTCGCAGCAATTTTGTTGTATGTTCGTTCATGTTTTACCGAGGATACCAGTATATTTATAAGAAGATGTCATCAGACCAGAAATAATGATGGTGCAGGTGGGACTTTCCTAACTTAAAGTCTAACCATCATTCATGCATACTCTCCTCTTTTCCCTTTGAGGCCAAACAGACTCTCGCTGTCTCGTTGTCGGCAACCTCATCATTTAGAGGGCTGTGAATAATAATGAGGGATAACTGCGCTGCTATGACTCATACTTTGAGCTGAGTTTGGACAGATTTCCTCCCACTCCTGTGCTCATATGTGCTTGTGAAATGCCCAGTGACTCTGTATACGCGCACGTATATAGTAGATATTGATGACCAAATTCAATTACATGATTACATTTTCAGCCCAAGCTTTAAATGATTTATTGCATTGAATTTAAATAGTGAATACATTTACAGACAGTACAGCGGTGAGGCAGTTGTGCGTACGCGATATTGACCTGTGCGGTCCAGGTCAAATAAAGAATAACGAGATTCAGCATCTCTGCCAAGTGGAGATGTCCGCTGGGAGTGAAGGCAGGCTATCTCAGTGGAAGAGAGCGAAAGATGGCGGGCTAGAGCCTGATGCGCATTTATCAAAGCTTTTCTTATAATCACTTGACTGACTTTTGTTGGGCTTTCTGAAGGTTGGGTTTTCCTTTAGAGTGCACTCTGTTAAGGAGTTGATTGATTTCATGAGGGGGGGACTTTGTCTATGTTGTAGATGTCATACACTTCGAAGAAATGTGGACAAGGGTAGATTTGTGTTCACTGGTTGGTATTGTGTTTACAACTATCATTTGTTTTGATTTAACAATATTGGCTGATTTATCAACCAGTCAGCTAAGCATTTTTTCTTAATTAATATTGTTAGAAATGCCAATAAGACTAGGCTTGTTTGATCAATTGTCTTCCTCTTCGTAAGAATTTTGTGATAAAAAATCGAATCATTATTGACCGCCGCATTGATCCATCCCTTTCCTTTTCCAATGTAGGTCCATTTCATTTGTCTTTCCGGTTGTTTTTCCGTGCTCCTATTCCCCGAAGCTTAGGTTAGCCATTTCAAAGGCCTCATTCTCTCCATGCAAGGTCAACTATAATCAACTCTAGACAATGTCACCGCTTGCATTTCCACAGAGCTAAGCAAAGGAAGACGACTCCTCTGGGCTTTTAAGGACCTACTGCATTATACCATTCAATTACTGTTCATTAGACAGTGTACAGCCATTAATCAGACTGAGATGTTCTGCTAGTCCTCAGCGGGGACAATGAACTGGGGAAATTTATTCTGGCTTCCTGTCTGGGCCGCTGTTTAGTGGTAAGGAGAGAAATGACACTTTGGAATGCACTGAAGCTTTCAGTACAAGACACATCCTAAACTGAACTGCTACTCCACTTGCTGTATCTGTTTTCAAGTGAAGTTCTCTGCTTCATGCCGCCCCTCTCTTTGAATTTTAAGAAACATAGGCTTTGTCAGAGATTTACTGCATATGTAGGAGAGTATTACGAATCTGATATATCACTAAAAGGGAAGAAAGCTGACAGATTTACCGATTAGAGCTGCATATGCATTGAATATGACTAGATGATGATATGAGAAACTGATTTATGTTTTCCAGGAGAGGGAGGTGTGTTCCACGTTACGCAGAATGCGGTCACGGATGTCCCGGTTTTTCAAGGGTAGGTTCATCAAAGCATAAAGCCTAGTAGTAGCTTGCTGGCAGTAGCGGCGGCGGCGGCAGCGGCCCCCGCGTTCCCCTCCACAGCACCTAATGCACCCATAAAGAGACCACTAATACACTCTGCATTACCAGTTCCTCCCTCACATTGCATGTCACCGGATCCACAACCACCTCTCAACATCTGGGAGAGCTTTACGCCATGCTTTATGGAGACCATCTGGTTGAGTGGGTTTTTTTGCCTCCCCAATCTCAGATGACTTATTCTAGTATTAAAGGCACCTGCACATCAAGGTGTGCCATGCTGAGAGCCTGGGATTATTCACCGCTCTTTATATTTCCCATGTCGTTTGTAATTTGGAACCACTCAGACAGAATGAGGGGGATATGTACCTTGTTACTATGAAAATCCATTTTTTTTTCTCCATGACTTCTTATTCTAAGTAGAATTGCATGGTCTGACTTTTATTTGATTGATCTAGAGAAGAGCACATTTGAAAATGGAAAAACACAAAATAAGTGCTATACACATTTGATTATGGGGAGGGGAGATAACATACTGTTAAAACACAAACCAAAGCAGCGATGTAAACTTGACATTCTCCTTTGTTGGGGGGATGTGCCTTTCAGTTGGTTCAGGCAATTTCATTCTAATTGCCTACAAAACATAGGCTTTGGCACTAAGGCCCATTCACTGGTTTCCCAGCATCTTCGATTGTTCCTTGCAAAAATTCCAAAGGTGACTAAATGGAACGGGATGTGAATCCCTGCACGTGGTTATCACTGTCTGCCCTTCAATCTGAGCTTCACCCTGTCAGTGTGACACTAGGAAAATCACTGCATCCTGTGCTAACAGCAGGCTCCCTACCTCACTCACGAGTCATCCATGCTATCATAGAAGTACACAAATACACATACATGTGCACGCACAGACAGCAGTTGTGCATGATTTGTATGTATATACATGTTTTCTCTTTCAATTATCCTCATATTGATAGCACTAGAGGTCGAGATGCAGCCTGATGTACACTCTAGTACTGGCTATGATTTCCCTGCAGAATATCAATGGACACTGCAGGGGGCATTTGAAATAAATCACAGCACATTATTGCTTGCAGAGACTCAAGACTCACATACTCATTTTCTGTCCCTATCACATTATATTGTTGTTACTGTTTATGAATGGGTTTGCATCATTCATGGCTCATATGATGCAGATGACACAGACGCAAAGCTTTACTGGAGAGTCAGAGCCGTTGTGGAGGGAAGCGGGATGTGAAAGGAAAAGTGATCTCCAACAGAATCAAACCCGTCTGTCACCTGCTTTGCATCAAAATGTCAATATCTGGGCCAGTTTTTATCCTTGAAAGGATCAGCTGAGGAAAAATAGGAGGCCTTTTTCAAAAAGCAAATCTACCATCAAGGTACTTGCCCTGCCTCCATCATATACTTTACCAGCAGTATTCCATCTTGACTTCCAGGTATAAAAGCAAGAGATACTACTGGGTTCAGTTTGGCTGAGATTCTCCTTCAAAAGTTATTGGTACCGTGTACAATGGCCTTGTAATTTATGAGAACTGTTAGGGCCTCTGACAGAAGTTGTAAAGCATCTTGACTGATTGGGAAGATATGAGATGTGTGCAGTCATGGCATATTGTCGCCTGTATGTGCGTAGACATGCAGAGAGTTGCATGGCTTGCTCTGTCACAGATAAATTACTCCACACAGTCAAATTAAGTTGTTGTAAATCACCCTGCGGACCCGAGACTAGTCCTGAGTGACGACCTTTACGCCTATTTGACTTTAAGTCTTATTTATGTTAATCACATCTGTATTATACTGACAGTAAAATTGTGTCATATTCTAAAAGGTCATTGTTTTGCAGTACAGCATGTGACAGGGACAGAAAAACACGCCGGTTTTGTTACGGGAAGGGAAAGGTGTAACTCTTGAATGTTTATACATAAACAACTTTATTTTTATCTTGTGTTTTTTACAGAAAAGTTAAACATTAACATTCAGTGCTTTGACCAGCATGACATTCATTCACAAGGTATGTACTATGAAAAAAGAAATGTATTCTTGTATTCTCAAATGCAGCTCCATATAGAGCACAGCGTAGTTCAGCAACCATATGGGGATACAGCATGTTTCATGTTACTGTAACAAATTAGAACAACTCGTGAGCGTTACAGATGCTTGGTGTGGATACTAAAGGCTCATGAAATCCCTTCACAAAGAGCTTCATGATATTAATGACACTAAAGTAATAACATGTTCTATGGATGTTAGTCCCTCACAATACCTCTTAGGATACAGAATATATATTGGAGTTTTTATTCAGGCAAAGAAATGATATCCTTGGGGATGGCTTTCACTGAGGGAGAATGAGAGCCTTTGTTAACTACAGTAAAGTTGGAGGAAAATGTATGCTTTTCCTCTCATTCATCATATACATGTCATGAAAGGCCTTCAAAAGGCAGCAGCTCCCAACAGCAATTTTTTTTTTTTACATTTACATGTTGAAAAATAATAAGTTCCAAAGACTCCTTGCTGAAAATCAGCCATTGTGATGTGAGAGAGGCATCTGCGTGTGATCTCCTTTGCACTCAAGACGACAGGCTCTGTGAAGTGCACCACTGCCCAGTTACACATTAGCTTTGATTGCCAGTTTGTTCTGTGCGTAGCCGGTAGCTTTGAACTGCGTCTCAAGATGAAAGCCAACCTTGTCCACAGCATGTCCACTGTAGACTGCTGCTGTTGCTTATTTGCTTCAGGCACCATCAGAGGCTTTGGGACTATTTTTTTTTCTATAGTTCTGTACCATGCTGGATTGAGCATTATGTATAATTTATCATACAATACATCCAGAGACAGCACCCTTTCTTAACTCCATTTTAATTTAATGCCTCTTTCTTTCTACATCTTGTGTTGAGTGTGGTCAGTGTATGATACCACTAAGGTATGTCTTTGTGATGTCCAGCAGATATACCTTCCTATTAGTGGTTCCCATGGTGAGAGCATCACCAATCAGCGCTTATCTCTTTCTCTCTCTCCTTTCCCTCTTGTTCTCTCTCTCTTTCCTCTAAGAGCCAGAACCATAGAATACAGTGTCAGACTGCAAACGGACCAGACGTCCTCGTTCTCTTCTGTCTCCAGAAGCCAGCTGCTCATGTATAAGATGAAACAGTGTTATAAACCAAATAAAAATGTCTTGCCTCCTGACAGCCCCACCGTGAATATATGGCCTCTTATTTCAGTGAATATATTGCATAATTATGTATGGTTATGAATATTGCATGGAGCCTCACACTGAGTGCATGGTAAGATGCCTAATTGCGGAGTTTAATTATTAAGAAGCAAAGGTCCTGAGCGGGTTTTGTGAGAAGCACTTTTGATAAATTATTTTTTGCAGTTTTCTGATGAATTATTTTGGGGGCTTGTGTCTAATCAGCAAGCGTAGTGGACGGCGTAACTGCTCTTGAGAGAGACTTATCTTCCCATGGAGAGGAATTACTATGCTGATTAAATCCACTGAAATCAACTAATAACTTAATGATATTGGAGTGGATCAAAAGAATGAATCACTGCCTCTCGTAGCGGTGGCTATGAAGAACACAAGGGCACAGTGATGGGTAGAATGAGGGCTGTTGCCATTGACCCCGGGGCACAGCTTTAACATTTCTGTGTGACATAAGGAAGGGAAACGGAGAAGGAGGAGCTTGTGATGGTATGTACCAAAGCAAACAAAAGTACCTCATATTGAAAATAAATGTGGTGTGGCTGTTCCTTGTGCTATGAAACACTTTAAGGAAAAAGTCCAGAGAGGTTGACTAAACAAGGAATAATAAACTAGATCTCCCTCAAGTACTGCCAAAGCCACTAGACACAGCTGCTTGTATAACTATTGCTTCTCATCCTCTCCAGCATGTACTATAACTGAGGCGCCCACATAAAAATATTCCTCCGTAGTTATGTAATTAATTCAAGCGCACTTAGTATGCAGAAAAGTTTAAGGCTTGACCTCGGTTTGGTGTCGAAAGAAATCTGCAAATGAATAAAACAGGCTTCTCTGCATGTTGATTCAAATATAGAACTGGCGCACATGATGTATTCTTCCATAAAAGCTAATGGCTGTAATGCAGACAATAAGAACCATTGACCCACTTAATCGCAGTCCTGTGTCACACTGTCACAGTGCAAAACTTAGTTTACCACAGCTGTGGGATCAAACGCGGGGTAATAGCTGGGCTCCCTCCATTCCCCTCTTGCAAAATGCATGTCCGTCTAGCACTTCTGAAATGCAGTCAAGCTGCTTTTCGCGAGCCAGCACAAATATGTGAATAATTGATTGATATTGATGTGAAGATTACCTTGGCGGTATCCAGTCGTTGTTTGGTTTAGAAGTCTCCCGCGGAGGAGGCAGGAGTCCGGCCATCTGTCAATAACACGTCAGTCGTCTCACATGGCGGGCACTCTGACCAGCTCAAACGCTTCAGTGAGCAGCTGAACAATTGTTCTCAATGTGATGTTAAATCAGCTATTCTGCTCTGAAAGGAGGCTTGAAGCTCAAGTGTTGCAGGTCTGCTTCAGTCAAAGTGGCCTGAAAATAATGGGCACAGTACTAATTCTGTTCTCTTGCTGTGATATAATTGCATTGATTATAAATTATGGATTATAGTGTGCAGTGAAGTTTACTTTATAGTACTCAAAACAATAGTTGATACATGATGCTGTTATACATATTTCTTCTTTGACCTTTATTCATTTAAAAATGAACTGCAAACACCTCTTTTATAGCAAACATATGAAAAAGATGCTCTACATGAAGGATGTCGGAGCTGCTGCGGCCGTATAACAATCTTGTGTCACAAGCTATTGGGCAGCTTTTTTGTTGCTGCTGAGGCCTTGTTATGGAAGCTTTACAGGACACTCCAGTCACAGGCTGAATAGGAGAAAAGTGTCTATGAACTTTTTGTATGTCGTGTAGGTGAAATGAAAATTGTCCAAGGTCATTTTATACAGAGTCTCCACAGGCCATGAGACCTGTATTGAGCCTCCTCGCAGACAAGATGGACAGGTGGTGTTATAAAAAAGACCCTTTTTGCCACTGACATCATCCAGAGCCACCAGGAGGCCACTTTTACCCTTTT